TGGCTGGCGCCTTAGCCGGTTGAGCCATAGGCGCCGAGCCAAAATTCTTTATGAGTCATTTTGATGTTCTCATTTTGGTTGGTTTCCATTGGTACAGTTATTATTTTCTTTTGGAGGTGACCTTTCACTGTGACTTTTCTTATACTGTGTTCCCCCGAAAATAAGACCTACCCCCAAAATAAGCCCTAGCAGGATTTCTATGCATTTGTTAAATATAAGCCCTATCCTGATAATAATACCTAGTGATGGGTGTGCCTATGCAGCGTATCTGCATAGCCACGCCATGCATTTTAGCACGGAGAGGAAGACATCCCCTGAAAATAAGCCCTAGTGTGTCTTCTTGAGAAAAAATAAATATAAGACAGTGTCTTATTTTCAGGGAAACACAGTATCTGGAGATCTTTTTTTGATTCCTTCTTCTCTGGTTTTGGATTGTCTTTTTGATTGGATGGTGGCATGCCCATATCTGAGTCAGTAGGTGGTACTTATGGGAGGAACTCATCTCCTGTGTTTTTTAACCTTTTTTATCTCATAGCATACTTGAATCTATAGTTAAACTTCTGTGGCACACTTAAATTATGTGGATCAAGAAAAATAATGAAAGGGTGGTGCCTGTGGCTCAGTGAGTAGGGCGCTGGCCTCCATATACCAAGGATGGCAGGTTCAAACTCAGCCCTGGCCAAACTGCAACAAAAGAATAGCTGGGCACATTGTGGTGGGCACCTAGAGTCCCAGCTACTCAGGGGGTGGAGGTAAGAGAATCTCCTAAGCCCAAGAGCTGTAGGTTGCCATGAGCTGTGATGCCACGGTACTCTACCGAGGGCGACAAAGTGAAACTGTGTCTCCAAAAAAAAAAAAGAAAGAAAAGAAAAATAATAGGCTCGGTGCCTATGGCTCAAGTGGCTAAGGTGCCAGCCACATATACCTAAGGTGACGGGTTCCAATCCAGCCTGGACCCACCAAAACAACAATGATGGCTGCAACCAGAAAATAGTCAGGCGTTGTGGTGGGTGCCTATGGTCCCAGCTACTTGGGCGGTTGAGGCAGGAGACTCGTTTGAGCCCAGGAGTTGGAGGTTGCTGTGAGCTGTGATGCCACAGCACTCTACCCAGGGGGATAGCTTGAGGCTCCTCAAAAAAAAGAAAAAAATAATAAAAATAGAGTGGTGTCTATGGCAGTCAGTAGGGCGCTGGCCTCATATACTGACAGTGGGAGGTTCAAACCTGGCCCTGGCCAAACTGCAACCAAAAAATAGTCGGGCATTGTGGCAGGCGCCTATAGTCCCAGCTGTTCAGAAGGCTGAGGGAAGAGAATCGCCTAAGCCTAAGAGCTGGAGGTTGCTGTGAGCTGTGATGCCATAGTACTCTACCAAGGGCAACAAAGTGAGACTCTGTCTCTGAAAAAAAAAAAAAGAAAGAAAGAAAAATAATAAAAATATACTTAGTCTTCTTTGAACTTCTTTTGAAAATAATTTTATTAATGATTTTTTTTTTTTAAAGAGGAAAGAAAAAGAGGGCCAAGTTTGAACCCACCACCCTCAGTGTATGGAGCTGGTGCCCTACTCACTGAGCTGCAGGTGCTGCCTGATGATTTTTTTTTTTTTTATAAGACAGATACTGTGTCATCCTTTGTAGATTATGGTGGCGTCACAGCTCACAGCAAACTCGAAGTCTCGGGCTTAAGCAATTCTCTCAACCTCCCAAGTAGCTGGGACTACAGGTGCCTGTCACAATGCCCAGTTATTTTTTTTTTGTTGTTGTTGTTGTAGTTGTGGTTGTTTAGCAGGCATGGGCTGCATTTGAACCCATCAACCCTGGTGTATGTGGCCAGAGCTGTAACCACTGAGGTACAGCTCAACTCAATCTAAGATCCTCTTACAGCACACCAGTTAAAAATCACTGCTCAGGCTCGGTGCCTGTGGCTCAAGTGGCTAAGGTACCAGCCACATACACCTAAGGCGGTGGGTTCGAATCCAGCCTGGGCCTGCCAAAACAACGACGGCTGCAACCAAAAAATAGCCGGGTGCCTGTGGTCCCAGCTACTTGGGAGGCTGAGGCAGGAGATTCTCTTAAGCCCAGGAGTTGGAGGTTACTGTGAGGTTACTATGTCACTCTACCCAGGGGAATAGCTTGAGGCTCTGTCTCCAAAAAAAAAAAAAAAAAATCACTGCTCAACTACATCCTGTGTGATTTGAGTCAGTAAATGTTGTAAAGGGCATGCAAGTTGACCTCCCTGTCAGTAGGTGGCAGTTGCCAGGAGGAACAATTGCTTTTGGTTTCTGTGATGGCCTGTAGTACCTCAGAAATGCTTGATCACCCTATGTGCTGGGTGGAACCCTGGAACTTCAGGTGGGTCCTAGTTCTCTTCCACAGCAGAGACAATAGGAGGGTGCAGCTGGACAGGGCTGGGTGCAGGATGAGCTTACCCTCAGTTTCCATAAAAGCTGGTAATATACCTGTTTCAGCAGGAATCAAAGGTCTGCTCCCAGCATTGGACAGAGCTGTCAGCTAGGGGCTCTAGTGGCTTTACCCAACCAGATTCTTGTGGAGGAATGGCCATCTCTGAGATCCACAGTCTGGAAATCTAAAGTAGGCCACGGTTCTCCCGTAGTGGGAGGATGCCCCACAGTCTCACTAAATTTAGGAACCACACTGCACTCTATCCCCTAATCTGCCCACATGAGCAGCCTTGCCTCCCAATACTAACCCACAAATTTACCCTCCTTAACTCCAAGGACTGCAGTTGAAACCTGAGGGTACAGGATCTGACCTGTGAGTCTGTTCTTGATCCCTGAAGATCAGTCCCTGCCATGCTAGGGAGAAACG